CTCAATGTTGTTTTGATTTGCATTTCTTTTATGGCTAGGGAGGTTGAGCATGGAGGTTCCTCAAGAGACTCCACATAGAGCCCCCCAATGACCCAGCAATCCCACTTTTGGGCATTTACCCAAATGTTCACAAACAAGACGATACTAAAGCTACCAGCACAACTATGTTTATTGCAGCACTATTTAGCATAGCTAAGATACGGAACCAACCCTGATGCCCCTCAGTAGATGAATGGATCAAGAAAATGTAGTGTATATATATATATATATATACACACACACACACACACACAATGGAATTCTATGTTTCCATCAGAAAGAATAGGAAATGGAAAGACTTGGAAAAAAAATATTAAGTGAAGTAAGCCAGGCCCAAAGAAAAATAGATCTCATGGTTTCCCTTATTTGCAATAACTAGTATATGTCTGAGATAAGCAAAAACGGTCAGATAAGTTGATGCTAGGTGAAATGAACCTCAAGATAAGGATTCAAATGTTTTTTTCTTTCTTGCAATTATTTCTAACATATTTATAAGATGATTTCTTTGTTGCTTTGTATGTCCCTCCCCAAGGTATAACCCCTGTTTTCACTGTATTTGATGTTGGTATAATTTGGGGAGGGGAAGGGAAAAAACAAATTGTATAAATAGGGATACAGGTGGACCCATTGCAACAATGAGATGTACAAGATGTTATGTCTAAAAAAGAACTTTACCAACTATGGCCCCAGGGTTGGTGGGGGGGAGGGGAAGGGATGGGAAGGGAAACAAAGGAGGAGGCAACAATGCTTGACAAGAAATGTACTCATTACTTTGCCCATGTAACTGTAACCCCTCTGTACGGTATTTTCACAATTAAAGAAAAAATAAATAGAAAAAAAATCTTACAACTATGACCCAGCAACCCTACCCCTGGGCATTTATCTAAATGGCTGCAAACAAGACCATTCTAAAGCTCCTAGCACAATCACATTCATTGCAGTATTATTTACCATAGCTAAGATATGGAACCAACTCAAATGCCCCTCAGTAGATGAATGGATCAAGATATGGTATATATACACATTCATAAGGAAATGGAAAGATCTGGAAAAAATATATTAAGTGAAGTAAGCTCAAAGAAAGTAGGTTACATGGTTTCCCTCATTTGTAATAACTAGAATGGATGTATGATATATATATAGATATAGATATATATATATATATATATAGTATATATAGCATAGTATATGTAAGTATTATGCCCATCTTTGGTCCTCAGCTCCACCCAGACCTGAGCCCTTCCCTGCCCCGGAGTTCCCAAATCCCTGCATATTGCTGGCCTCTCCCTCTCTCTACCCAGACCCACCTGAACTCCCATCTACCTCACTTCCTATCCCCCAGACCCTCCTGCTACCTGGATAGGGACAGATGCCATGTGCTTCCTCTTAGGGAAAATATGGTTCTTCTAATAAACCTCATAATAATCTTTCTCCTGTGCCTGCCTGTCTCCTCATGGTCTCCTGGGATGGATGTGTGGGATCCTTCAGTATATATAATATGTAGCCCAATTGCTAAGTGCATAGGACCATATGTAATGAAGCGTGTCAACACAAGAATTGAAAGCAAGAGATTCTTACTATGTTTCTGTTTTAGTTTTCTGTACCCTTTGTCTTTTATATAAGTTTAGCTGATCTGTGGAAGGGAAAAGGGAACCACAGAAACAGCAGGACAAAGGATGAACTAATGCAGCAATGATACTGTCTCCAGTGTTTTTAATGCTACTGCTTCTTGATATGATCTTAACTTCTAAGTTAAATTTATAACACTTACTATTATTTTCCCCAAAGAGGTTTAAAGACAATCCAGTAGCATTATATTATCATGTTTATGAATTTCTTGAATGATATTGCAAAGCTATTCTAAGGTGGCTGCCTATTCTAATCGATATTAATAACTTTATCTAGGTCCTGTTTCTAATGGGGTTGGGATAGGCTGTGACTTGCTTATAGCAAACAGAATGCAGCACACTTGACAGACTGATGCTTCTGATTTAAATTGTAACACATAGTCTAAGTAGCAGGATGCCACTCTCTTGATCACATTACATTATGTCACAGAGGCAATGGGAAGTCACATCAGAGGCTATGTTACATGGCAAAGATTATGGCATTTCATGTGTGCAATTGCATTGCATTTTTTAAGAACCTGTCTTACTTGTAGCCTTACCCTTTCTCTCCATTGAAACAAGCAGATCATGAATCATAAGGGCATAAGGAAATTATTATGTGTGTGTGTGCACGCGCACACATGCATGCACATATGTGCCGTGTGCGCACATGCCTGCCAGTACTGAGGCTTGAACCCAGAGCTTCATGTTCTTGCTCAGCTTTTTCACTCATGGCTGGTTCTTTTCCATTTGATCTATACCGCTACTTAAAGCTTTTTGATGGTTATTTGGAGATAAGAATCTCTCCAATTTGTCTGCCTAGCCTGGCTTGGAACTGAGATCCTCAGATCTCAGTCCCAGAGTAGTTAGGATTATAGGCAAATCCTTGGCACTTGACAATGAAATTGTTTAGATAACAACTTGATGGAGATTAAAAGTATATCCTTCCCCAGTCAACCAGTCAAAACTTAAGTTGATACCTAAATTTTGAAGAAGACCAGGAACAACCATAGTTGCCTGAGGCCTAGACTCTAGGCCCACAGAAACTATAGAGTAAATATGTGCTAAGCCTCAAAATTTGTAGTAATTTGTTGAATAGTAATAGAAAATAGAAAATGGATATGAATGTAAAACCTAAATTAGTTGGTTTTTCTGTTGTTTTTGTTGTTTGCAGTGTTTGGAATTGAATCTGTGACCCTAATCAAGTGTTACAATCTTGAGCTACATCCCCAGACCCATGTCAATCGATCACTCAGATAAAACAATCTACTTTGAAAAAAACAATTTCACTTAAGATACGGAAGTAAAAGAGAGAAAACAGAGGAAGGGGGGGCAGAAATTTTTGACACTGAAGAATAGCATTTTTTTTCAGTTAGGCAAAATATTTTGAAGATATATTCTCCATGTCTGCATAGAAAATAGATATAAAATCAGAATAACCATGATCTTAAGATAGTGATATATTACATACCATACTTTGTACACATTCACACTTATACTTTATGATCGATGTACACCAATTATGTATAAGTTAATTTCTTTTTTTTTTTTTTTTGTCGGTCGTGGGGCTTGAACTCTGGGCCTGGGCGCTGTCCCTCAGCTCTTCAGCTCAAGGTGAGCGCTCTACCACTTGAGCTACAGCGCCACTTCTGGTTTTCTGGTGGTTTATTGGAGATAGGAGTCTCACGGTCTCTCCTGCCCGGGCTGGCTTTGAACCACGATCCTCAGATCTCAGCCTCCTGAGTAGCTAGGATTACAGGTGTGAGCCACCAGCGCCCGGCTGTATAAGTTAATTTCATTGGTACAAAGTTTGGTTTTAATTCCACTTATGCACCTAAGATGTAAAAGTATTGTAAAATTATAAATGATGAGCAATTGCTCATTTCAAAAAAATGTATTTCCTACCTGTTTGATAGGGTGCTATTACTTCAACCATATCATATAATTTCCAATATGCTTGATTCAAAACTAGTTTATCAAATGCCACTGGAAAAAATGTGTTTTCATGATAAATTGTCAGTTAATGTAACTCACTACTCTTATGTAATTACAAATTAAGGATTGAAACAATAAAAACCACTTTTGAATTTATTTTCTCCGAACTTGCATCAAAGTGAGTCACATTGCACAAGAAGATTCTTCCTAAGTCACGCTCTGATCAGATGCAGGCTGAAAAGCTACTGTGAAATTTTACCCACATTTCCACCAAATACCCTGTGAACACACAAACACGAACCACCCTTCCTTTCTGTACCTTTGTTAACCAGCTTTGCTTTTTTTCTATTTTTCCCAGAACATAGACCTATGTCTTAATTCTTTTTACTGACTAATATCCCTTCCCCACCCCTACTTTACATTTGACATTGACTCTAAAGCAGAAGTATTACTCTTCTCTATTAAAGCAACAAGTGATGACTTTTGGTTTTCTTTCCCAGATTATCTAGAAGTAGTTCCCACAGCATTTTCTTTCTCATTTTAAAAGTGATTTTAAAATCATTTTGCCGAAGCAAAAGTATTACTTTCCCCCAGATTTGTGAAGTAGGATTAATAGGGAGTTCTGTGTTCATAACTGTAACACATTAATTTAAGAGAAATATAATGAGAAATAAACAATACGAGCAAATCCAGGTGTGATTTGATCTTAACTGGATTGCAAGTTCTTGTTGAAAACGAACATATTATTAACCTTGTAGGTGTTAACATGCTTATCTGAAAACTTGCTTCTGAAAGCCAGTGGAAAGAGTCACTCTAAATGTATGCTTTGCCATTTGCAAAAAACAACATGGTTAGTATACACAAAAACTACAACATACATTTGTAGTTTTCCTGTCCAGGTATTAAAAAGTACTATGATAATAAGTACATAGAAGCAGCAAAAGAATAAAGGAAAGACAGTAGGCTGGACCCAAGAACTAGCTTCTGATTTCAGCCTTGCCACATGTGCAGAGGATTGCTTCTCCAAAGTCCTGCCTTCCCATCTATATGCCTAACACCTACCATGAACACATGAAAATTGCCGTTAGCCTACTAGGTTAAATAACTGGTAGGCAGGATAGTCCATATACCTGAGAAAAGAAGTCCATACTGCCTTTATCTGAACAGCTTTCATGCAGAGCACATTGGAGATTTGTGAATTCAAAGAATTTAATAGAAAACAGAAATTTACTACCCTCCATTCTTCCTTATCCATCCTCTTTTTTTTCTGAAAATGAATTTTTTTGTAAAGTTTGCTAAAATATAGCAGTTCCACTCTATGTCATTTTTTTCTATTTTTCTTATACACCACACACACACACACACACACACACACACACACACACACACACACACAGAACTTAAAATCAGTGAAAACTATTTAACACAAAAATCAGAATTATTTATTTTAGAAAATAGGTAATAACCAGAACAAGGGAAGCATGAACTTTAAAGGGCATTGAATAAAAAACAGCATGTCTGAAAAGCTAAAAGCTAGAATGTGACACAGGTGTCTTCAGTAGAAGAGCGCTCAGGTAATAGTATTAGAAATACATGCAAGAAGGAGTGATGTGAACACCCAGAGGAGTAAAGCTCTTTTCTTACCCTCATTAAAAAAATGAGCCAAATAATTTTTTTAAATCCAAAGTTGTAGGATCCCGAGGGCTAAGCTTCTTGTCCATGTTGAAGCAAAACAAAAATCCTAAATGGGAACACAGTACAAGATTCCCACACTTTTTTGATTAGATTGCTAATCACAAATGCCTTACTACAAACTCCCTCAGCACCCAACTCATTGCCCATCTTCCCATTCTATGATTTAATACTTCATATCAAATGTTACATGTCCTCCTGTACTGTCACTACGAATGTGATAGCCATCTGCGCTTATTACACTTTAACGATTTAAACAGATATGTTCCAAATTGCCAGAAGCCCAGAGTTTAATTAAGCAAACATGAAGTTTTCTAACTGAACAAATTTTCCTATACAATGTAAACCTGATACGTATAACTTGGTACTTTCCTCCAAAAATGTCTCCAGTTTTTATGTGCAGAATCTGAAAAGTAAACAGTATTCTTTCTTTCATCAGTAGCAGTGGTGTGGACAGGCACTTGTATGTATTTGATAAATTATCTAACTTACTTCTTCATTTCCTTTTTCCTGCCTACAACATGAGCTGCTCTGGTTGAAATGTGGTTTAAGAAGCAAAGGCAATGATGTAAAATTTTAAGTAAAGGTCACTATTGCTGGGAAATGGATGTCAGTTTCACAAGCCATTTGCACTTTTCCACTAAACTGTGTGGAGTTGATCTAGACAAGCGAAGGAACCCTGTGACAGAAGCCAGTTTTGAAGGGCACAGTAACCCATCAAAAACGACTCTCTTCCTCCTCCACTGCCCGGTGCAGGCCAGGGATAAATTTCAAGAGTTGTTTCCGGACACTCCCCCTTCTGCTTTTCCGGGGAAGAGTCCCAAACATGCTTGAGTAATTGCCCTCCCACAAGGGAGACATGGATCCACTGCTGGTGGTACTGATGCTTCGGCTCCTCCTTGAAGTACAGCCCTTCAGAAAATCATCCCCATCCTTGGAGACAAAGCACTCATCATCTGTGCTCGTCTGCCGGCTGAAGGCACCCCTGTTCAAGTCCTCAGACACACACGTTTGGTAGCCATCCTCACTGTCCACTGTCATGGAGCTCAGCCAGCTCTTACAGCTGCTCTCACTGGATAATCGATTCCGGTCCACAAGGGCTGGACTTGGCCCGGGTAGGCTTCCAAACAAAGACAACTCTTCCATATCCAGGTTTTCCAAACTTGGGGAGTTAGTGGCATCACCTAAAATACAGACAACAAAGCCTATTATGTTACAGATCTGGTCCTCTCTCCTATAAATAAATACATGAAGTTTTATGTGTGTTTTTTTTTAATTTAAAGCACACATGGAAAAGTAAGAGTGAATATTTATCGTGAGTCTTGAGATTTGATTTATGTAAGTGACTTTATGAGGTCATTTGATTAACCACACAGTAAGGTTTCTGGAACTCTTGTTTATGGACTAGCTTCCAGAAGGATTGTACAGTCATGAAAATATTATGTGATGTTTGAATAAATTTAAACATGCTTCATGTTACAATCTGGAATGTTCCCCCAAAGGACCCAAGTGATCAAGGCGTGGTCCAAGTGTGGCGCTATCGGGAGATGGTGGAAACTTCGAGAGGTGGAGCCTACTGGGAGGTTTCAGGCTGCTGAGGGCATGTTCTTCATTTAGATTATGAAATTCTGATCTCTTCCTCATTCTTTTTCACGCCCTGACCATGAAGATAATTGTTTAGTTTGAGTACATGCTCTTTTCCTGCTGTGCCACCATAGACCCAAAACAATAAATCCAATCCATCACTGACTGAAACTTCTGAAACTTTCCTCTCTATAAATTTACATGTTTAGGTTACAGTGACAGGTATTTCATAAGAGAAAGTTTTAGGTTATTAAATTTCACTCAGGAATGAGGTTAATTTACAGAAACACTTAGGGAAATGTTAATCTTAAGGACTTTCTCCATTTGGTTTCTCTGATTCTCATTTTAACTTTCTTTTAAAAATAATTTACTATCAGACAAAGGATTTGATAAGTAAAGTATGTCTTCCAGTCTCAGTTGTTTAAGCATTGTTTTAGAATTCTCAAATGCACTATCCAGTACTGTCTTTAAAAAAAATCCTGTCCACAGATATTTAATACTTTATTTGATAAAGTTGAATTTTACCTGCTTGGCTAAGTTTTTTTCATCAACTCTTCATAATCTACATGAGTGCTCTGAACTGAAATGTCCGTCAGCTACACACTAACCTGCTCCCTTACTGTTGGTGGAAACATAGATTATTAAAACCATTATTAAAAATAGTGTAGAGGCTCATCAAAATACTAAATAAGAATTGCCGGACTAGGAAGGTGGCTCAGTGGTAGAGCACTTGCCTTGCATGCATGAGGCCCTGGGTTCGATTCCTCAGCACTACATAAGCAAAAAGAAAAAAAGCCAGAAGTGGTGCTGTGGCTCAAGTGGTAGAGCGCTAGCCTTGAGCTGAAGAACTGAGGGACAGCGCCCAGACCCAGAGTTCAGGTCCCACGTCTAGACCACCCCCCCCCCAAAAAATATTGCCATATTATCCAATAATCCCACAATGTGTATATAGCAAAAGGAAATGAAAGCAGCATGGCAGAGACATTTGTGCTCAAGTGTTCATCACTGCATTATTCATAATTGCTAACTAATGAAAACAACCCAAATATTTCTTAAGCAAAAGAAGAAAATATAATGCATCCATGCAATGGAATACTATTTGTCAATAAAAATTAATATGATTCTGTCATTTTTGACAACACACAAGTAAAGGTGATTATGTAAAGTGAAATAATTCAGGCATAGAAAGACAAGCACCACACATCCTCACACATGTAGAATCTGGTAAAGTTGATTTCATAGAACTTGACAGTAAAATGGTAGCTACCAGAGACTGCAGGAAAGAAGAAAATGGAGGAACTGGCAAGTACTAAGCAATGAATAATGATCAATGGACACATTTAATAGGAGCAAGAAATTTTGGCTATGCTATTGCATACTAGTAGAATCCAGGAGATGTTCTTCTCTTCAAAAATCTCAAGACATCTTTTGCAAATGTGTGCATTCATATGTGTTGGAGAGAAGGAGAGACTTCACTTGCTCCTCCTTCAAATGCACAAATTACTCCAACATTAATGCCTAAGAAACACCATAATCACAAACGATTTAGAGATAACTACAGATAATAATAACATATATTATGAAAATAATGTATAATAATAATAATGTATTTTCAAAGGAATAGGAGAATGGGGGAAGGGGTGACATGGATCAAGATGCATTGTGTTCATAAACTGATTTGTTCGATAGTAACTCTTTATAAAACTAAAGATAATAAAATATGAATTTTAAAAATTAAATAGCTGGAAGTCTTATAAATATTTTTATTTCAAAGAAATGCTTAATGTTTGAGAATATTACTAAGTTCAACATGACTTACATAACACAGTGTATATATGTGTATATATATGTATTTGTATATGTATGTGCATATGTATCACAAGTAACTCCATTACTATACAAAAATTTTATGTTTTGATATTTTAGTTTTTAAAATCTGCTAACTTGTGTTTTTTTCTGCAATGTGATCATCACCTTTAACAGATAGTCCAGGCTACAAAGAAGGATTTGAACTGTTATCTAAAGACATAACCTATATTTTATACCCACAATGCTAGTAGTTTCATAGCTATTAAATATTTGTATGGAAAAGTTCATTTGTAGGTTTAATCATTCAAAAAGCAAAGAATAAATCAAACAATAACTTCAATCATTTTCTTCAGAATGCACACATGACAAAAGCTGTACTGACTGTAATAATAATCTTGAATGTGTTTGTCATGGGCCCAAGGAAGAGGATTTCACTGAATAATATAACATCTGATTTGAACAAAGGGAAGCTGTACCTAAGGATGTAGGTACCATTCTGGCTTCAAAAGTGTCTGAGATCTGTGATTCCCAAAGCCATGATCATTTTCAGGAACCTAATTCATTTGCTCAAGTATAAAGAGTCAGCCAGTGATTCCAAGGGCTCTTTAAAAATGTTCACACATCCTTTGTGAGTGTGGGAATGGATATGTACATGCATGTTTTCCTGTGTGTGTATGTGAGTGTGTTGTCTGTATGGTGAAGGGGGTTAGTATACTCCAAATGCCCAAGTCATGCCAAAGAAATACTACACATGTTCTGGATTGGTACTAGAGAGCTTTTCTTGTAATGGTAATAATCTTATAAAAACTTAGAGGTAGCAGTACTGAAAGGATGAAATGTGGCTGTGGTTTCTCTACAGGAAGTCACACTTACCATGAAGCAGGTGCTGTTCCTGTAAGTGTAGAGATCTGAACTCCACCCATTTTTTCTTCAAGGTTTGCTGTGAGAAAGAAAATATATGTAATTCTGACTAGTAAGAAACCCCAAGTAAAGAAAGTAAATGAATTCCAGGGGTTGAGATTCATCATTAAAAATTCTCCCTTTCCTTTTAAGTAGTACCAGCTCCTTCTGTTCACATAAACATTTTACTATCTTAGAAGAGAATATTTGGAATACTAATTTTGCAGAAATCACCTAATAGCACCAATAAGCCTTCTTTCAAAAAAATAATAGGAACAATGACTTTTCTTAAGTATTATACAACCAGATGGTTTGGACTTGACAGATCTTACTAGCTGTTTAGACAAAACCCAACACACTAGGATTTCTCCAAAGCATGGTGAACATGATCGAATCTAAGCCTTCTGAGTCTCATATGGTGAAATGAGTTATCAGATGTAAAATATTCATAACAGTGACTAGAACTCAGTGAATACTCAACAAATTCTGTCATCATCAACCTGTATGCCTGGGGAACTAAAACAGCCTTTGTAGCCAAACATCTATGTATCTTCTACACCAAAAATAAGAGAGCAAAGTTGTTTCAAAATGCTTCCTTGACGACTAAACTTAGAATACTGCTAATTACCCTGACTTCTTGACTGCTTCTTCCCTTGCTGTTGCAGTGCATATAGGAACCTGCTACCATGGGATGAAGTGACCGGTAAGTCAAGGGTGCAGAGAGGGCAAAAGAGGGCAAGTCAACGTGTGTCAATAGCAATGCTTGATAAGAAATGCACTCTTTACCTTGCTCATGTAATTGTAACCCTCTGTACGGTATTTTCACAATTAAAAAAATAGCAAAGCAAGCAGAAGACATCTGATGAGATAGCTGTTCCAGGTTCACACCCCTCTTAATTTTTATCTCCTACCCAACCCTTCTTGGCCATTTCAGATCCCCATAGCAAGCTTAGCATGTGAGCACAGGCTTTGCCTGCATACCTATCTTAAAGGGACAGATAAATAGGAATGATAGCCTGGTTGGAAATAAGCAGTTGTCCATTCAACAGAGAAACCCAGACATAGTCAATGGTTAAAAGGAAAAGAGATGTTTGAAAGGAAAATGGTCAAATAAAAGAAAAGGATTAATCTATAACATCATTAAATGAATAAGGGAAACAAGGTCATTGCTCAGTCAGCAAGGAATGAACAACAACTGGGCAGTATGTTTCCAAGCCTGGATAATATAACACTAAAGAGCTATATTTATGATTGCCAATATAATATGCAAACAAGCAATCAAAGCAATAGAATGCTTGACTTGGTTAATTTCTTATTCTTTTTGAATCTGAATATTGTCTATAATGATCACAAGACAAGAGGACTGTCAGCCACAATATTTTTTAAACCATAGTTCTCTGAAGGTCAGAACTAAAATCCTAGAGGCTAGCAGATTAGCTGGCATATATACCTTCCTCTTTCTTGTTTCTTAAACAGATTTATCCTCCTGCAAGAAAATAAAAGAGTCCAATAGAGGAGCAGAAGGTTAGACTGACAGTCAAAACTAAATATAGAAAGAAAAAAGAAGTTTTATTTTTGCACTTACTATCCAAAGCTCATAATCCGAGCTTGCCAAATAATTTATTTTTGTGAATGTACAGATTTTAAAGTATCTAATTTGTGGAATTGATCCAGTCATCTAAGGATGACATCACTTACACCAAGAAAATGTAAGAGCAGATATATTCAAGTGATTGAAGAGTTCTCAGTCTAACTACATTTCCTTGTTTTCCTCAGAATACTGTTTTCTTCCTGTGTTACTGACATAACATTTGTAAACCTGGTAAATCTACCCTCTCACCATCAGTGAGCCTTAAAGTATAGATGAGGTAAAAACATGTTGGGTCACGACACCACGTAGGGCCTAGCTCAGAGCTTAGAACACAGCAGTCGAAAACATGATTGAAATAAGAAAAATGGTTGAATGAACACACAGAACAACCCTCAACTATCACACACTGGATTAGTTCCAAATACATTACTGATGGTTTTAATCTACTTGAGATAACAACTAAGTATTTCTCTGATATTTTAGTACTTTTATTGTGCTTTCACAAAAATATGACATTTAATTTTTGTATTCTCTAAGGTGTTATACCCTAGAAAATAAGGTTTCACTGTAGCAAAGAATTTCTGAAGAAATACTACTACCTACTAATACTACCTACTTAGAAAATAACCCCGAGTAGATTATAAACTGGCTCTCTTGGCCAGTCCAATAGATACACTGTTTTCACCTTAAACATTTGAATCTTAAGTAGAGAAAGGAAATCCCTGAAAATTTCTCAGAAGGGATTACTGTTTCTAAAGAACTTTGTCCCTTCCTCCCTCCAACCAAAGAGTCTGTGAATAACAGTATGCTTACTTCGGTAGCACAAAGTAAATGTCCTTGCATGGAAGGGAGGCTAGCTTGACCTGGTTCAAGGTTAGATTTAGTCATTTGTGGCTCCGTCTCATAATCTCTATATTAGACATGCAAGATAGTAAGCAGCGATGAAAGTCATGATCTATTATGAAGAAGCAAAAAGAGGTAGTTAGAAATTTTGTTTCTAGGGCAGGAGATAGTTTAAATACAGAAGGTTAAGCCAAGTTTCCTGCTCCAGAAATGAACCCTGGCTGAAGCTCATGCATAAGAAAAGAGACAAAAAAGTAGATGCTGCTGCTGGTGGTACCTAGAGAAATAAGAGCACACAGGACAGACTTGTGACCTGAGCCAAGCTGTGCACTAACTCACCAGGGAAGGCTTTCAAGCTGCCAGACCTACTCTGGCTTAGGATCCTTTTTTTTTTTTTTTTTTTGTCAGTCATGGGGCCTGAACTCTGGGCTGGGCACTGTCCCTTAGCTCTTCAGCTCAAGGCTAGCACTCTACCATTTGAGCCACAGTGCCACTTCCGGCTTTTTCTGCTTATGTGGTGCTGAGGAATCGAACCCAGGGCCTCATGCATGCAAGGCAAAGACTCTACCACTGAGCCACCTTCCCAGCCCTTGCCTTAGGATCCTTGAACCATCACAATTTGCTGAAGGAGAAACCACCACTCTGAGAAGGAAGGCATTCTAAACTCCTGAACATTCACAAATGTTTAATGACAAGGACAATAAATTGATCATCAGTCCGCAGATTCTCGCCAAGAAATGTGAAAACAGGAATATGTCCAAAGAAGAAACTAAAATAAAAATGCTGCTGGGCAGCAAGGGTTCATGCCTACTAACTAATCATAGCTACTCAGGATGCTGAGATTTGAGAATCAAGGTTTGAAACTAGTCTGGACAGAAAAGTTCATAATATTCTTTCTTCCAATTAACCAGCAAAAAGGAGGATATGGAGATGTGACTTACTGGCAAAAAGTTAGTCTTCAGCAAAAAGCTAAGGATGGGACAGAGACCATAGCCTTGTGTTCAAGCCCTGGCATGCACATGTGTGCACACAAACGCACATACACAGAATGTATATAATTCTCAGAAATAAGTTCGGTGTTCATCAGAATTAAAAGCATAAAACAATGAGGGAGGGGGTAACAGGTTAGACAAGAAATTTAATCACTACCTTATTTATGTAACTGTATCCCCTCTGTATATCACCTTCACAATAATTTTTTTTAAAGCATAAAACAAAGAGAATAAAACAAAACTAGACAGATATGAAAAAGAAGTACCTGATAATAAAGCAGACATTAAGTGTAAAAGCTCAATAGAAAGAATACATTCTATACACAGATACCATATCAAGACTATTTGTAAAGATAATTACTAAGGGAGATAAATCATGAGATGCTAACATATGTCTAACAGAGTTCCAAATAACATAGGGAAGGTTGAAGAACATATTCAGAGGTTCACCTTATAGTTTTTGAGAGCTAAAGAAGCCAAGAGGAACACAGCGAACTCTAAGCAATATAAACCAAAAAGTGATTCTTGACCTGATAACATTGTATTGAAACTATAAATCAATAAGGACAAAAGAAAACCTTAAAACTACCCAGAAAGTAATTGTATCTCCTCTGTACAGTATTCTCACAATTAAAAAGAAAAAGAAAAAAAGTAAAGTACTTACACATGTTAAACAACAACAACAACAAAAAGTCATTAAATCAAAAAAATAAAATAGAATATTAAAAAAGAAAAAAAAAAACTACCCAGAAAAAATAATTTAATTACCACAAATCCAAATATTGGCTTAAAAAAAGATTTTAAAATAGAAAGTCTTCCAGAGAACATGATGAAGGGAATTAAAAAGGAAAGAAAGAAAAGGGCTTGTAAGTTGTATAAGTAAAAATGAGGACAAGTTAAAAGGATGTATATTACATGCATATATATGATCTATATTATATATGTGTATGTGTGTGTGTGTGTGTGTGTGTGTGTGTGTGTGTATTCTGTTCCTGGGTTTGAACTCTAGGCCTGGGTCCTATCCCTGAGCTTCTTTTACTCAGGGCTAGCACTCAACCACTTGAGCCACAGCTCCACATCTGGCATTTTTGGTTATTAATTGGAGGTAAGAGTCCTTACTGCCCTGTATGGCCCATGGATTACAGTCATGAGCCACTAGCACCTGGCTTGTCAGCTATTCAAAATATTAAACAAAAACACTTAATAAAACTATTCATAAAAGAGTTCCAGAGTAATCTTACAAACAATAGACAGTGCTTTTAAAAGAAGTCAACATGATTCAGATGGCATTTCAAGAATTCTACCACAGAATTAAAAGAGGAACAGACTTCAGCTCATATTGTAAAGCTAGTAACCTTGATCCAAAACCACAAAAGAAACCTGAGAAAATAGAAATCAGACTATACAAAATAAAGCTGTGCTCAAAGTAATTTAAAAATAGCAACTTGAACTTATACATATATGAAATTATTATATATTTTAAGGTAAACCACCTTGGGTTTATCTTAGAAATGGAGGAGTGGTTGTTTTAGATCTTTGAATGCAATTACTATGGTGACAGATTTTTGAATGAGAATAAATGAAAAGACAATCTTAGCAAATGAAGGAAAAGTATTTGATATAACTTAATACGTTAGCATCATAAAGGCTAGCTCAAAATGCTGTGTAGAAGGAAGCTTCAGCCTGAAGTCTCTCCATAGACAGAACTCATTCCTGGAGGAAAAGAATTGGAAGAATTCACTTTAAAGGACAAAATTGGGATGCCTGCTGTTATCACTTCCATTAATTTTACGTGGTATGTCCTAGAAATTGTAGTAAAGTAAAAATTAAAGTGCCAAATTATCAAGGGCCACACATTCACCCTTACAGATATATGGAATTCTGTAAATTCCTTCTTGTGTAATAAAGGTGAGAAACTGAGTACCATTTTGCAAGTTACTATCTTCATAGAAAATCTAAAACAGTTTGTAGGCAATTATACAGTACATAAAATTTAAGGTATTTGAATAATAAAAACAGCATGGAGGGGCTGGGAAGGTGGATCAGTGGTAGAGTGCTTGCCTTGCATGCATGAAGTCCTGGGTTCCTCAGCACCACATAAACAGAAAAAGCCAGAAGTGGCACTGTGGCTCAAGTGGTAGAGCACTAGCCTTGAGTTGAAGAGCTGAGGGACAGCACCCAGGGCCAGAGTTCAAGCCCCATGATCGACAAAAAACAAAACAAAACAAAACAAAAACAGCATGGAAAACCCATTTCAATCGTCTATACATAATCAAGATTTTATTTTATAAAAACTTGTAACAATAAAAATCATGAAGTACAAAGGACTAAGTCTAACGAAAGTTACATAATAAGTATATGCATAAGATTATCAGATTTTATATAAAGATACTGAAAAAAAATGGTAAAATAATCCATCAATAAGAAAATGAAATGCCATCCAAGTACCTATTGTCCTTGAACTGATTTCTCTATAAACTATGACATCAGTCAAAATTATGGATAACTTGATTCTAAAATTTATATGGATGGTCAAAAGACCAAAAGAGACCAAAAATAGATGATTTGCATAAAATAAATCACTACTTATTATCAACTGAATTTGGTATAAACAAATTAGCCAGTGAATTATGCTAGGCAGTATGTAAGCAAATTTATGTATACAAGAAGTTTGGTTTAAAAACAAACATAAGTTCAGTTAAAAATAGAGGTTATGGTGGTCCCTGGGGGATATCATGTCTGTACTGCCAGCTACTTAGGGGGATAAGGTCCAGAGGATTATGATTGGAAGCCAACCCAGGCAGAAAAGTCCATCAGATCCCCATCTCCAAATAACTACCCAAAACAGAGCTGCAGGGACAGCAAAAAAAGCAGAGCAAGTATGAGGCCCTGAGCTCACTGGCTAACATACTGACATATATATGTGCATGTGAGTATTATACAAATTATAAATTTTATATATAATACATATAACATAAGAGATAATACACATATGTATAGTCTATACATATATGGAATATATAAAATTTACAAAATACACACATAATATATTATATAATATATAAGTATGTTATAATTATATTAAACAATACATAAAATATCTATGTGGAGAAAGAGAAAGAGAGAGAGAGAGAGAGGAAAGAAAGAGAAATATATTTCACTGCAGTTTAGTTAGGAAAGTATTAAAAGAAATAATATTGAGAAGACTGAGTGGCCAAAAAAAAAATCAATTTGCCCTGTACTTGTCAAAATGTGTAAAAGTGAATTCGAATAGAAGAAGAAAATGTGGTATACATACACAATTCTATGTCTCCATCAGAAAGAATGACATTGCCCCATTTGTTAGGAAATGGAAAGGCGTGGAAAAAATTATATTAAGTGAAGGAAGCCAGGCCCAAAGAAACATAGGTCCCATGGTTTCCCTTATTTGCACTATCTAATATATGTCTGAGTCAAGCAGAAAAGGTCAGATGGTTGATGTTAGGGAAATGAACCCTAAGATATGTATTCAAATGTTTTTTTTCTTTCATGCAATTGTTTCTAACACATTTATAAGATTATTTCTTTGTTGCTTTGTATGTCCCTCCCCCACAGTATAACCCCTGCTTTCACTGTATTTTATGTCAGTATAATTTGCGAAGGGGAAGGGGAAAAACAAATCGTTTAAACAGGGATACAGGTGGACCCATTGCAAAACGAACTTTACAACTTTGGTGGGGAGGGGTGGGCGGGGGAGGGAGGATTTGGTGGGGGGAGGGGGGGGGGCCGGGGGGATGGGAAGGGTAAACAAAGGAGGAGGCTGCAATGCTTGATAAGAAATGTTCACATTATCCTGCCCATGTAATTGTAACCCCTCTGTACAGTATGTTCACAAAAAAAAATTAAATTAAATGTACTCATTCTCTTGCCCATGTAATTGTAACCCCTCTGTAGAGTATTTTCACAATTAAAAATAATAATAAAATAATAATAAAAAAGAAGGACTTAATATGAAAAGCAATATTTTAAGAGAAAATATAGAAAATTCAGATTAGTTACAAATTGCCAAAGTCAGAAGCTCTCTTAGTAGGAATACATCAAAGGCAGAATACATTGCAAGTTCTAAGGAAACAAAATATTAATTTGAATAATTCAGTTATCTTGCCAAACTTTTTTTTGAGAGTAGCAAAGAGATAAATACATTTTTGTCAGAACTTACTTATATCACTGAAGGAAATACTATGCAAGAAGGAAATGTGTATGTGTGAGTGTGTGTGTTTGTGTGTATGTGTGTGTGTAAAGCGAGAAGAGTGAGAGAGAGTTAAGGTATAGAATCTGAGAAACAACAGCAAACACATCAATTCACCACTAATATATCTGTTCATTAGGAGATATTTAGAATAAAATCCCATATTCTGATATTTTTATCTATTGGTAAAATATTCCAAAGTCCTAAACTCAATGAGAAGATTGATTTGCAAATGATCTATTAGAATGTTAAGGTTTTTATGATGTTCTGGAAGAGGATAAAGGTGTTGAAGCATATGTACATTGCAAGAAAAATAAGTTAATTATATGTATATGAATAAATTAATAGACAAAAAAATCTTCAGGAAAACAGCTCAAAGAGTAGAAGTTAATATAAACCCTTAAATAATGTTTTTTTCAAATAAAATATAAATCTATTTTACATAAACTCACTGGTTTATTTTCTATCATCCTTTCATTTTTTTCACTTAATGATGAGTCGCTTAAACATTTTTTTAAAACAGATGTTCACCAAGACTACCTCTCAGTAGTTTTACACCAGTAGTTTTAAAAACTATCAATATACTTAAAAATTATAACATGAAGTATATTTTACTCCTTATGAAAATGTAATAAGAATAAGAATACCACTATTTACAGTTAACTGAAAATTGTAGCCAATGCTATAAGAGAAGAAAAATGAATTAATTAAATAATTGAAATAAAGGGACAAGATTTTTAGCTGTACAGATAGTAAGTTTTACATTTAGAAAATCTAAAGGAAACCATAAAATTGTTATTAAAATAAAAGTTCAGCATGACTAGTAAGTTTTAAAATGTATGCAAAACTAATGGCAGTAAGTAGTAGAAAAAAGAATAAACATAAAAGAGGTGGATGAAAAAATTACAAAACATTTGAAGTGTATGACTGACCTGAGTAAAAACATTAGATCTTATGTTCAAAGTGAGAACATTGAAAACCAGAAATATTTCAATTGATCTCATTTTATTTTGTAACTTCAATTCAATTGATATAAAAATCTGAGTAGAGCTTTGTTGTTTTTTTTTCCCCAAGGAACTTTAAAAAATAGATTCACATAGGGATAAACAAATGCTAACAATCTTAAAATCAAACCAACGAAGAAGAAACTGAACTTTTTAATGAATTTAACATGGAGGAAGAGAGAGATAAAATACAAATCCAGTGACCTAACTGCTCAGGCTCAAAAATTAAGTGTTCACTTCATGAGGAAAACTAATCGATAGTAGCTTTTCTGAAACAAACAGCCTATTGTAAATCATGCCATCTCTGCTCAGCTTATTGTCATGCAGGGTGAGTACCACAAGGAAGAAGTCATCAAGGCCAGGGAAGGGTCTACAGGGCTATCACTTAGACACCCAAGTTAGGGCCTGGACTTCACGGCTGGGAAGACCTACACCAACTATAAAACAGATATTTGAGACCCTCAAGCAACCAACCCCTGGAATTTCCACTGAATATCATGCATTATAGACTGTCTCTTAGTAACCGTTTTTCCCTTTCAGGGAAATTCAAGGGCAGCCACAGGATTGGGGCAAAATAATCTCAGTTATAAGAATAAAACAAAAGGAAAGGACACAAAGGAGGACACTGAGCAAGTACAAATCCCCCTCCCCCTCTCCATCACACTCATGCAACACTTGGGAAGATGATGAAAATGCCAGCTCTTACTCTTTATTCCTCCAAACAAAATGTAAATCAAGAAAGATCACAGGTGTGTCAATGAAGAGCTCAAGCAATGCTGCCTTCCTCTTGCCTTTCCGAGCCTTAGAAACCTTCTGAAGAAGGAAGGAAGTGATTTATGTGTTTACTGAATTTCATATCCCCGCAAAGGTAATTGTGGCTCTTGATAACTCAACAGTTTCGATTCATCATGACATTTCATCTCAAGGGCTAACTAATTCCTCCAATACATCTTTATTTTACCACTCACACATTCAAGGATGAAAAATGTGACTCATTGTATTAAATCAAATTACCTTTAAAACCTGCAGCTTTGCTTCAAGCTCTGCTCTTCTGTGAATCATTGTTCCATTAAGAGTCTCTATCCTGTTTTAAGGGGGAAAAGGGGAGAGAGAGTAAACAGCACAAGTGATTCATTTAAATAAGTACCATCCTTATAGTACTACACTAGAGTACTACACTTGGAGCACAGACTATACTAAAAATGCAATATAAAAGTCACACTTCTTGTGGCACTTTAGATATCTGGACCTAAGCCAAATATGACCACATTAGGGGGAAGAAAATGGGGGAAAAAAACCCTTTGAAAGAATGGAAGAGAGGACCTTGGCTAATGTGTAACCTGGAGCTCATTTTATAGAATCTACTGTATGGTAAAAATGGCTGCTGTCTATTGGATCTACCTTTGTGGAGACAGGCAGAATCACATTACATTCTTTAGATAAATGATTGCTGGACATCTATTTTGTGCCAGACTCTTCACTACCACATTATCCAACAACAAAAGCAAACTATCACAACAGTGGAATCAACATGCTACTTCTTGAAACAAATTAAAATTAATAATGTCCTCCCTAGGATTCTGAGCATTTACCTATAAATACTGATTTATAATTTTGGAACAAGAACAAAGAGAACCACAAGTATTGTGAGATAATAACATTAGTATGACACTTGCATCTCGGGACTTTTAATTTACAAACTTTAACCCTAGAATTAAGGTGTTCTTTTCTTTCTACACTAAATGCCTTTCTAAAACCAGAAGGCTAGTTCTTATTGATTTGATGCTTTGTGCACTGAAATTAAAGACCCTTACTTTGACTGTTAAGTCTGGGTATACTAGCAAATTTCTCTTGAGAGTCACACAATTAAGCAATTAAAAGTATTGGCAAATGGTTCTGATAACTAAGCTATAATTCTGTTTATGAAGATATAAGAAATGTTTTAATGCATGGCAAAGTATGTAATGTGGAGACCAATTTTCCTCTATTTTTACCAGCATCATACCTGAGATAATGAGAAATGAGAAGATAGCAACCTAAAAAGCTGTCTGCTCTCTGGGCAAGATAAGTCTTGATTCTCTGGTCAGTAAAAGGAATCCTATGCTGCTGTTTTACTGAGAATCTTAATATTGATTTGATTGTCCAAGAAAGAGATGTGTATGAGCCAAATTGCCAGCATGAATGGGACAGCCAAATTGCCAGCATGGACGGGACAGTCTCTTCAGTATTTGTTCATATTGTCTCACATTTTCCTGACTTCTACACTTCCAAGAATTGCTTCTATATACTAACCCTTAGCTACCTGTTGTCTTCCCACTTTGCTCATGTGGAACATATTTTTCAGGCTCTGGGCACCAGTGTTTTTTTTCTTGGAATCTATAAGTTTCCTATTGGATCCAGGTTTCTTTGAAACAAAAGTAGTTCTGTTGTTTATCAGGATATCATAGGGTTCATAGAGATGCATTCAACCTGGTATTACCAGCAGTCATTTTTCAAAACCATACACATACACATACACACACACATACCCTGACAATATCTTTGAAGTACCACTGGAAAGCATCCACCAAAATTTTTTTTGCCGTTTACAATGAGCAGCTGTAGTTAAATAAAAGTATCTTGACCTCACAGAAGGTGGTCAAATCCAGCCCTAACTCTTAATACTTGGGTGACTAATTAAGTAATCTTTAAACCCTGTGCACTTCATCTATACATAGAAATAAAACCAAACCCAGAAGTCATAAAGAATTAGCTGGATAATCTAGGACCCACCTAAATCAAAATAAAATCTGGACTTCGTGGTAGGGCAGATGATACTTCTGATCTGCTCTATGGCCAATACTCTACCTTTGCTTTTTCATTTTATTCATGTCATCCACCAGTCCCCAATTCTACTGGATCCTCTCTGACTTTGACTATGTCAAGATGATTTGTTAGGTCTTTACCTAAAATCCTTTTACCAGGAGTTCAGATCTCTTCCCTCTTTTTACCTTCATCTCCAGTCACTCCATCAGAGAAGAGCTCTTTAAACAGCTATGCTAAAGCAGCAGCCTGCTTATTCAGTATTCTCCCCTCCCAATTGCCCTTTTGTACTTTCCCTATTAAGAACTGAAACACAAAAATCACTCCTTTTTCAAGCTTTCTTTGGCTATCCAAGGCTTTATCTTTGCCTATTATGGACCTATAAAGCTGCTAATACCAGTTTTTCCTACGTATAATAATAATGTTAGTGAAATCCTTTACTGAAAAAAATCCTGACCTCAGCAGGTGGTCAAATCCAGCCTGAAAATGACTGCCTATTTGGATGACCTTAGCTAAGTCATCTTCAAACCTCAGTCATTTCTTTACCAACGTCTAAGGTCCTAGGAATGTTGTCACATCAATTAAAATAGTGGTTTAGGCAACATTGACTCTCCTGGGGATGGAGCATTTTGTTTCTTTGGTTTTCCATTGGTTTTCGTTTATTTGTTTGTTTGTTTGTTTGTATTCTGATGTTTGAACTCGAGGCCTCATGCTTGATAGGAAAGTCCTCGATCATTTGAGTCATGTCTTAATCCTTTTGTTTTAAAATCATTTTTCAGATTGAGTTTTTGGTTTTATGGAGGCCACTATCCTCCTACTTCCGTCTCCCAAGTCATTGAGGCTGGTACTAACATTCTGAAGAATGAGTAATATCGCAAGTTGGCAAAACAAAAAACAAAAATTAGAATATTTTTTGTCAGCTGTGGGGCTTGAACTCTGGGCCTGGGCGCTGTCTCTCAGCTCTTCAGCTCAAGGCGAGCGCTCTACCACTTGAGCTACAGCGCCACAAAAATTAGAATATTGATAAAGCTGAATATGTATGTTTTAGGGAGAGGAGATTAAATACTGTTGTTCTTTCTCCAAAATAGAAAAGCAGGAAAGAAAAAAAGGCTTATGACATAACAGGAAAAAAATTCAACCCTCTCTTTATTTGTTGTAACCAAAATTTTATATCAGCCATGGAAATTGAGCCATTTTCTTTTACTCCAAAGAAATTATATGCACCAGCTAATTGAATTTGACATTAGAAAATACATTTGTAAAGTCTATCCCTCCCATAATGACCTTTGACTACTGATACCACTACTACATATGCTAACAATACGTTCAAGACTAAGAAAACCTTGAAACACAAAGGGAACTGACAAAAAAAATTGTACTCAACTTGAAAGCTGTAGACTAAAAGATACGAACAAAAAGCCTACTTATTCACTCAACGGGCATTGTGAGGGCATTATTTTAGTCCCACTAAATAGAATGATTAAGAATGAAATGGATATTTACGTTAGCAGATTCCCTGATGATCTGATCAGGTCAACCACTTGTTTGTGGGTAAAGCCTTCTATGCTCACACCATTGATATCTGCAAGGACATCACCTGGGAGATGCAAAGAAAAATGAGTGTTATACTGTCTTGTTAAATAATCCTTCCTGATATGCAAATGAGACAATACAAATGAGTTATCAGCCAAAGCATTAGTTAAGAAAATACAAGCAACAATCACATTCTGGCTTCACTGTCAAAGAGTTTTCCTTTGCTATTTAAATGGCTGCTAACAAGAGCAAAGTTACCAGCTTGCAAGCCTGCGTAGTGAGCTGGACTGTCCTCTTGTATTTTGCAGATGATAGTAAACATTTCTGAGGAACAAATATTCTGGTTCTGGAGCCTGCGTGTCTATGAAATACAAGGAGATAAACAGTTACTATTCAAAACACTCAAAACGCATTTGTCAAACATAAAATTTTGTCAATTATAATTAAGTGATATAATAGGTAAGTGCAAAGGACAATTTGGAAAGGGTTTCCTGTTGATAAATTGAATAAAGGGTACCAATTTTGCAATTCTACCAAACAATATGCAGCCAATTCCATTCATAAAAAAACATCTGGCATCAAATAGAAAGTGGCTCAAGATTTTCTATTTTGAGCCCAAGAGACCACCTGATGGCATCATTTCATATTTATTAAGAAAATTATGTTTCTTCTTTTTCCAATTGGGGAAAACAATGGGGACCACAAGCAAAGAAAGCAATGTGTATGTGGGTGTGCTAAGCAATAAAACATTCATTACAGGAGAGTATGAGAGTACACACCAGTGAGGGAGATAAGCCAACAATGATTATTTTAAATCAGAGCTCTGCAAATAATGGCAATCTGCCTTGCATTCCTTTAAAAGTACTCTAGTTGATTCAATTACTTTCATTCTTGAGCATGCTCTGCTATGACTGCCCTGAATTCTCACTAGTTCAATTATCTAACTTAATTAGAAAAAGGCATCTTTTGCCCCTTGCTTCAGCTTGGCACAACTAGTTTGACGATGCTGCCTGTTTTGTTGTTGTTGTTATTTGTTTGCTTGTTTTGTTATTTGTTTGCTTGTTTTTTTACCTTTTCTTCAAATTTTATCAAAGCACTGAATAATTGCTAGGTACCCTGTCCTGGGAACCCCGAACAAAAAGACTTTTATTTTAATTCACTTAAGTTGTGAGGCCTAGCTGTATTTAAAGCCAAAAATAGTGCTTTGAGTTAAGTCTTTTAAACATTTGATCCCAAATGGTAAATCACATTAAAGCCACTACTTCCTTGCAGAGAAATTAATGCCTGGTATTCATTTTATTCTTATTTGCTAATCCCTGAGTTAACAAGTCAATACTGTACAAATAATTTTCAGAAACTTTGGTCAGTTAAACTCCAGGGGATTTCTACTCAATCTATAAGGCACTTGGGTTCCCCATATTTTAAAGGAACTTTGAAAGATGTGATATATTTTCCACCTGAAAGACTTTTAACAATTTTCTTGACAAAGATCTTACTGCAGTTCTCCAAAGATAGGAGATGGTGTATTTCAGGAGATGCAGAAACCTCAGATAACAGACATGTGCTTATTAAGCAATAAGAATCTACTCTCCATCATCACTGATCAAACTGAGTAAGATGCAGGGAAACATGTAGATTTATGTGTGCATACGTCTGCAATAGATATACATTTGGGGGCCAGAGTTAGGAAAAGACAGAAGCCAAGTATTACAGAAAGAAATATTAAAGTCAGTTATCTTTTTCTCCCTCTCTTCCTTTGTCTTCTGCTCCTCCTTATTCTTCTCTTCCTCCTTTTTATCATCCCTCTCCTCCTCTTTCTCCTTTTTTTCTTCCGATTAGAGGGCCAAAACCAGAATGATCATCATTTCTTAGAGACATAAAGATCACATTGCCCTTTCTTATGCCCCATGACCTTTATGCTAACATTCTCAGTTGTTGATCTTCTATTGCTATCAAGCCATCAGTTGTTGATCTTCTACTGCTATCAAGCCATTATTGGCGCTTTACATGTATTATTTTATTTCAAATACAGACCCAAAAAGGCAAGAATTGAGAGAGCATGAACTCATATGTGTATAATTCTGAAATCTGTATTCTTGACATGCTCCAGGATTCTCATAAGTTTATACAACTAGCACTTATGGAAACCCAGAAAGAAGGGTAAGCCTGGTCTCTTTCAAAGTGTTACTCACCAGGTAGGCCAGGACCCAAATATATCTTCACACATATGCACAATATGGGTAAAGGAGATGTCTATCTTGTCTTCAAAAGGCTCCCACCGCATTTCCTTATATTTCCTACCTCATGGAGATAATATGTGCATTCTTAAGCTCAGAGGAGAGGCACTAAAAACACTGGTGATCTACAAAAGTTCAACAATCTGTGACCTGTTGATAATTTTGACACTTGCTCAGAATTTGTGATACATAAACATAAGGGCATCATAATATATCATGCCAGAGTAGGAAATTAAGGTAAAGGAGTAATTATTTATCCGGTTTTCAGGAGCAACCTCTATACATCACTGAGGACTACCATAATTTAAAATGAAACAATGTCTCTAGAAGCAGAGGCATGTTTACTGTGAACTGGGCATAAGAGAGCATGATTTTTCTGAAGTCTGATGAATTTCAACAATTATTGTGGCAAATTATAGGCATCACCAAATTTCAGGGTAGTAGAGATGAGAAGGTAAAACTGTGTTTTCTCCTGCTAGCTTTTGCTTATTCTTTCCATTTTCTTTCTATATTCATAAACTATGTCTTACATAGCAGCTTCCTGTTCCTGATCTTAAGAACTCACTGAGTTTCCATTTTGGGTCTCATATCATATCAACATTTTCTAAAAACAGAACCAGAGCTAAAGTCTAAATTCTGATGTGTAGTATGAGAATATAATTATGCAAAACACACCTACAGGTAATGCAAAAGTACTATGGAAAAGAACAGTTATACTTAGGCTACTACTGTAGCACTTAGTTTGACTAGATTTTATTGCACTTCATTCACAATCTTTATAAATATAGTCATGTAAAAGCAGACAGTTAATAAGTTAGGTAATTACATTAAAAACTGCAAAGACTTTTTAAAATTCTTCCTGCAGCATGAAGCAATATGTAAGCAGGTGCAAAGGTTCTTAAGAGTTTTGTTTGTTTGCTTGTATGCACTAAGGACTGAACCCAAGCCTTATGCATGTTTGTTTTTGTGGACTAAAGATTGGACCGAAGCCCCATGTATGCTCTACCACTAAGTCACAAGCCCAATCCTACTTTATCAAATAATAATTGTAAAGAATTGTCAGAAAGTAGTAAGAATAAAGCATTAGAAAAACAATAGATAAAATTTCTAATTATATGAAAAAGAAATATTTTGTACCAGTAGTAACAAAAATTGCATGCACACACACACACACACACACACACACACACACACACACACACACACACACACCACATATTCCATATGTAGATACAGTCTTTCAAGTTTTTCTTAAATGTTGAAGATTTAGAACTTGCCAGGCACCAGTGGCTCATACCTGTAATCCTACATACTGAGGAGGCTGACATTTGAGGATTGTGATTCTAAGTCAGCCTATGCAAGAAAATCTGAGACTCTTATCTCCAATAAATTACCAAGAAAGATGGAAGAGCAGCTTTGGCTCAAGTGGTAGAATGCTAGCCTTGAGCCAAAGAAGCTCAGGGACAGCTCCCAGGCCAAAAAAAAAGGATTTACAACTTGATATACAGTCTACACATAAGACCATGCAAATGCAAAAAAATGCAAATATGTAAAATGCACATCTGTAGAATATATTTCACTCTTCTTCCTAAGACTCAGATGATGTCAAGTACTTCTGTCCAATCTTAGACATAAGAAAGGTTGAAAGGGGCTGGGAAGGTGGCTCAGTGGTAGAGCGCTTGCCTTGCATGCATGAGGCCATGGGTTCGATTCCTCAGCACCACATAAGCAAAAAGAAAAAAGCCTGAAGTGGCGCTGTGGCTCAAGTGGTAGAGTGCTAAGCCTTGTGCTGAAGAGCTGAGGGACAGCGCCCAGGCCCAGAGTTCAGGCCCCACTACTGGACCCAAAAAAAAAAAGATTAAAAAAACAAAAAAGAAAGGCTGAAAGTACTCAGCACAAGAATCTGATCATACCTCAGAAGTAGTATTTATCAGCTTCAATATTTTCTTTCCTTGCTAGTTAGTACACAACACACTGAAAAGTAGCCAGGCACGGCCATACACTGAATAAAATTCAGTCTCTATTATTTTCAAATCCTGCCCTAAAGTGATTTTTATCATGATACTATTAGTCACTTTTATCCTTGACAGTCTGGAAAATGAGGAAAGTGCCCACCTGAATTTCAAATCCAAATGTTCCATTGTCTTGCTTTTCCAGAGAAACCAGCTTCCTGTAACAGACGTTAAAAATAAAACTGCATGATATCAAAGTGTCATGTTTGGCATGTATTTGTCATTAAAAATAACCATCACAATTACAAATAGCATTTATATAAATTGTAGAATGTGGAACATGTTATATGCGTGCACATGTGTGTGTGTGTGTGTGTGCATGTGTATCAACAGGCTGAAGAGCTTTATTCCTAAATATTACCTTTGAGAACATGAAAAGTCACCCAAAGAACTTGATCTCGTCAACGCAAGCTGAAAAATATAGAAAGTGTACAGTTATCTTAAGGTCCTTAAGATCATTTATAAAGTATTCTAAATCATAAAGGACTTTATTCCTTATCTTTCCTTGGCCCAGATCCTAGGAAGTTTGTACTGAAGGCAGAAATTTCCATTCTCCCGTGATGACAAACGAGAGTTGGGAATAACGACTTTCAGACATTCCATTTAAAATTAGAAGAAGCTCAGACAGTAATACACAGGGACAAGAGTTTACTCCAAGGCTTCCAACAATTACTTCACTTCTGATTTGTATTAAAAATAGCCTCTGAAAGAGGAACCATATCAATTTATAATTACACTGAAGTCCAAAGAAAAGTAATACCCATAGAAATACACAAAGTCCAAATACTTGAAAACTTTGGGAGATGGTGGTGGATATTTATTGTACTATTTCAACATATTATTACTTTTAGCAGCATAAAAAAGTCTCTGAAGAATAAACTTACATACAGAAACATTAACATCAGAGACTCAAAACCCCAGTTCTTTTTATGATTTATTTTTCCAATAGCTTTGAAATGAGCTAAGCAAGGAAAAAGACTTCAAAATGGCAGAAATTTTATCACCCTTAATCTGCTCCACATTTTGGGAGGAAAGAAGTCATAGGACCCACAGATTCAGGATATATTCCACAATTATACACAGAAGAGAAGACAAAAAGGGTAACACTTGACTTTTTAGGACACTGCAGTAAGCAGTTGAGACTTGTTTTGCTGTGCTATTTTGTGTGTTTGAAGAATGATTAAAAAGTCTTAATTACTAGTTATCTATTTCTCAAGTGTGGCTTAAGGGCTTTACAACTAAGTTTATGGCACTAGCTAAACTATGATGTTTAACTGCCAACTTAACATGATTTTGTGCATATATACACACATATGGACACACAAATATGTATACCTGTATACATATATATACATATATATACCTGTACATATATATGCATACATGAAAGAGAATACAGAAAATATCACATCTAATCTACACAAATCGGTCCAGGTACAATAAGACGAGGAAACCAGAAGTAAAACCAGTAGAAGAAATCAATGTATATGTAGCAAGTTGCACAAAAGCCTACATTACTGCTACCTACCAAATTTTCTGGGAATATCCCAGTGTTCAGAATTCTGCCACTCATCAGTAAAATTAGTGTAATGTTGCTAGAGGCAATCTCATTCAACAGATTGAGTGTAAATCAATTGTGTTTTGTTCTTCTGTCAGCTCTGGAGCTCAACTCAGTAATATCATGCTGATGAGTGACACAGGATGGCTCAGGGCCACAAAGATGCTCTAGACTTGCTAAAAGCATCTACTTAGGACTTACCAGGAGAAACTGTGAAATGCCTAGAGCAATTGATATGATTTGTTATGATCTGATCTTGTACCTGAAATGTACTTTTAACAAGGATGAGGGACCATGCAATGATGTTAGCGGGTCTCCTTCTTGTGAATGAAAACAATAATCTCGATGTCTGCAAACATTCCTAATCACCCTCTTTTAGTGTATTTGATCATTTTTTGTTATCATCTCAGCTTGTTTTCTGTCCTTAATTCATATTTTAAAGACATATGTGACCACATTCAAATCTGCAATCGATAATTAGGACTGGGGTTTTTATTTTTAAAATATTACTTTTGCTATCTTGATTCATCATACTCTTTGTTTATTATGCACACACATTATATATATTTGCATGAAGAGTATATTCAATCAAATATTCCACATGTGTAAACAATCATCTGAATTATTTGATCCTCTGGGGAATATATTTGTTTTATACTTTCTGCCACAGTACATAGCACAGTGCCTAAAATAGAACAGGAACCAAAATATAGCAAAAAATAGCACAGGAAAAAAACTACTAGACAAAACAAATGAACAAAAAGGGTGAGAAAACTAAGTTAAAACATTCACATTCAGGAGGAATGTGCTAACTTTTTTTTGTTTTTTGTTAAATCAAATATTCCTAGGGAAATTCAAAGATGATCATAAAAATATAAGGTGGAAATTTAAAATCTCAAATATACTAAAATTTTAAAATAAAACAAATACAATGGAAGACAAAAACCAATTTTAAAACAGTAAGAAGTACAGAAATAGAAATACCAGGGCTGGGAAAGTGGCTCAGTAGTAGAGTGCTTGCTTTGCATGCATGAGGTCATGGGTTCGATTCCTCAGCACCACATAAGCAAAAAGAAAAAAGCCGGAAGTGGCACTGTGGCTCAAATGGTAGAGCGCTAGCCTTGAGCTGAAGAGCTGAGGGACAGCACCCAGGCCCAGAGTTCAGGCCCCATGACCGGACCCAAAACAAACAAACAAACAAACAAAAAGAAATACCAGAAATTAAAGTAAGAGAGCAATGTCTGAATCTATCACTATTAAAAGAATGAATGGTGGCAATAATTAATGTTCTTTTCCAAACTTTCAGCCTTATCAACTTTAATTTCCCTGTTCCTACCCCCAAAACACTAATACAGGTTTCCTACATGCCTTCCAAATATAAAATCTTTTAGGCCAGAGAAAAAGGCCACAGTTCTCTCTGGAGAAAGAAATATATCACCTCCCTCCTTCTCCCTGTTTAGATAACTGACTAAACATGAAAATATTTGCCTGACACAACAGGAGAAACATGGTCAAAATTCAAATTCAATTCCTGTCATAATTGACTCATTTGAGTTATCAGTTATACATACAAAAATTTCAGACCAAGACAAATTATCAATTATTTTCCATTCTGGATTAGCAAATGGTCTGTTTAAGCACCTTATATATAAATACAAAGGAATTATGCAAATTTTAGTCAATATGAAATTCCCTGATGCAAATATCACATCTTGACAGAATCTTTCTTTTTTGGTCTGACCTGTCAGACTAAGGTGATCTAGAAAGAAATACACTGGAAGCTCAGTCTGCCTCACTCATCAAAATATTTACTTAGGTGACATGTACAATATCCAATTCCTTATCAGGTCTTACACTTTTAGTTTTCCCTGTGTTCCTTTCCTAGGGTCAGCAACCCTATTTAAACATGTGACCAGTGGGATCAGCGCGCCCCAGATGACCCTCTCAGGCAGAGGCTTTGCTTAGTTACAGTGATATCACAAAAACTCATAACGGAGGGAATGGTGTGCAACTCACAGCATATGCTGGCAACAGCTGTCTTTTATTACACATTATCTAATATGAGAAGTCTAGGTTTAGCAATTTGGCAGTCTTGCAAACTACACATTCAGTTCTGACTGTTGAATACATAAAGCTCCTTAACTCCTCACTAGCTACTAATCTAGTGATGCCTGGGGTTGAATTTAGAATGGCTCTTCTGCTTTTAGTCAAGTGACTTGAAAGATGAGGTATTAATATTCAAAATGCAATGTCTCTTGTGATTCACAGGTCTCCCTTTAAGGGGGAAACCAAGACCAAATACTGCAGCTGTCTGTTTGCAAACCAGAGAAAGAAACTGCAATGAGCCAGCTAGCTATCCACTCTGTGAGCTCAGAGATCAATGCTGTGGCCACTTCTGGTAAGTTACAGACTGTTACTTCCTTGTCCCAGCCTTTTGTGCTCATTTCCTGAAAGCATTGTGGGCGAGATAACTGGGTGTATTGATTTGAAGGTGGGTGGTTTTTTATTTTGCTGTTTGTGTCCAATGTTTCAAAATTATGTGTTCCTCTCTCTTTCAAGCCCCTTTTATCTTTCCTTCTAGCCCCCAGTGTTTCATGAAAACATCACTACTTTTTAGGTCAAGAGAGTTTGGATAGCAAGGCTCACCATTATTCAAGAATACAGCAGAATAATGGAGTTGCTCTCCATGCCCTAAGTTGTAACAGTCCTAAAGGAAGCTAAATGGAAGGTTCCAGCACCCCAGGAAGACCCCACTGTGAGCTGATGAACATCTTCTTCTAGAATAGTTGGATATTGACCTACCTATGCCATAATATGGATGAGAGATATTTTTTAATTTTCATAGTAGCGTGAATATAGTTTCTACTTAAGAGCAAAATGAGATGACCATAATCTTTTGGGGCAGGTGAGAAGCAGTTATGGTACATGGTGGATGCGCTAGCAACAGTTCTAAGAAAACTCCTGGGGGTAGAATGGAACCAGGCACTTCCATGTTACAGAGAATAGCACAAAAGCCTCAAGTGAGTTGGTATGTGAGATGGGCCCATCATAAGCTGCCTGCTTGGTAATGATTTCATGAGTAAAAGAGAATTAGGTAGTGAGTTTGTGGTCCTACTAATGTTCAGCCAAGTTCCTTGCCTGTATGTCAGGTTATTTGTTCTCACGGCAGCATTTGGCAAAGTTCACTTTCCAAAAGCTCTCTTCTAGCCTTGTGAGATTGTGCAGTCAGTCATGTCAATACTCCTATGTGCTCACCACATTTACAATACCTGTCTTTAGTTTCTTCCATCTCCTTCATAGAGTTTCCTATTGCAGGAATGCTTTCCCAAAAATCCTGTGTTCAAAATTAGAGACTTTATTCATGTGTCTGGCACTTCCCAAAACACAGGTATTGAAATAATGTGCACGTGCTAAAAATCAACTTTTAAAGTATTTCTGAGTGTAAATACCCAACTGATTTTCAAGAGTAAGCCAAAACTAGAGGCTAACCAATAGAGCTTTGCTGAAACAAGAGCTAACAAAAATTAAAAGCATGAATTGTTGATGTCAGCCCTCAAAGTGTTGAAAATAACAGTGGACCGAGAAACACCTGCTGTGTGGTTGTCTCAGAGGGATCTTGTTGCCTGAAATTCAGTCAGTATCAAAGGTGGTTATTCTCTAAAAACACTTTAAGAAGTCTTGAACATCCATTTCCTGCAATGTTGAAATAGGTCTCATTGATAATAAATGTTTGGAAGCAGAAGTATCATGTTCAAAAGGGTTTGGTTTGGTTTTGCTTTTTTTTAAAGCAATTTTTACACAGTAAGAAAAAACGGTGAGACTTATGAGAAGCCTAGCATGTAAAAGAAGATGAGGGCCAGGGGAAGGGAAGACATGGAAAAGATAAGAACATATGCATACATTAATTCATGTGGGGAGAATTACACATGTAATTCATGTCTAACTTTCCCTTATTATTTATCTCTTTACATTTCTCTTATTTTTTTTCTATTGCCAACCACTGCCTTTGATAACCAGCCCACCATGGTTTCAAAGTATGGTTCCTAATAAAGTGCTCCACTGCATGGCTTTCTAGAGTGGTAAAATTAGCATCTATTCTCTATTTCTGCACACTTTGATTGTTGACTCAACCAAATACAGATTGAAAATGTTAAAAAAAAATCTTGAATCTATCGTGAAGGCTTGCCTTTTCATTGTCATTCTCAAACAATACAATGTAACAACTGTTTACATAGTATTCACATTATGTGAGTTAATTAATCTAGAGATGTCTAAAAGTAGAGGAGAGATAAGCCAGGTACCAGTGACTCACAGTTGTAATCCCAACTGCTCGGGAAGCTGAGACCTGAAGATTGTGGCTCCAAGTCAGCCTGGACAGGAATCTCTGAGACTCTAATCTCCAGTTAACCATCAAAAAGCCAGAAGTAGAGCTATGGTTCAAATGGTAGAATACTTTGCCTTAATCAGAAGTGCTCAGGGACGATGCTTATACCCTGAGTTCAAGTCCCAGAACCAGCACAAAGAAACAAACAAAAAAAAGTGTATGAGAGGATATACATAGTGTATAAGCAAATAGCTTGTATTGTATATCAGGGATTTGAACATTCACAGATTTTGGAATCTGTGAGGAGTCCTGGAGCCCATCTCATTTGCGTACCAGAGGACAATTCTATTGCTTTCTCAAGGGAAGTAGTCCACCTCTTCTGCAAAGCAGCAGAAATCTGAGGTCTCCTCCGACCTTCTACACACATAGAGGATCCTCTTGATGCACTGAATATTGTGTTGCTATATAAACCTGCCCCCAAGGCACCAAGACAATGCATCAGCATGAATTATTCCCTTGCTTTTGAATACAAAAAATCCTTCAAGGTTGTTCCCAAAGATATGTCACTTGGCTGAGAGTGTTTATACTGTGTTTCTTTGTGTAAATCCTATTCATCCCTGCCACCTGAATTGTAAACCCTCTCCAGGCAGGAAACATGGCCTTCTAATCTCTGTACTTCCTACCAGTAACACAATGTCTTTCACTTTGTAGGTGCTCAGAAATTATCTGTTGCATTACAATAGCTGAGCTGAAAGAGATAGAGGGAGAGAGAAAGAGAGAGACTAAAAAAGCTTCATAAACAAAGGGCATAAAGGACAGCAAATTCTCATCCAGATTCAAAAAATTCACAGCTTCCTTTCATAGTAAATAGCCTCTACCAGAAAAACCAAAGTCATGACTGAATCAATAGAACAACATTTGGTTTGAAAGCTTCATGACAAATGGGAAAACAACTTTCTCTGAAAACTCAATGAAGACATGAGCACCCGCCAGGCTGTTTAATTTTCAGAGTATAACTTGATAGAAATGTTCACCATTGCCTTAAATTTTGCATCATAAAAATGTTTGGGATTGAAAAATATCTAGAATCCAAATCCTGGCATACTGTACCCTTTACTTCCTCTGTGAAAAATATCAACAATTCATTCCTACACAGCACCTACAACAAAAGGCCAAGACCTTACCTTTACCCAGTGACCTGTAATCCTGAAATTAGAACTCAAAGGAGCACAATATACACAGAGATGTAAAAGCAAAAAATATCAATATTTTCTAAGTTCAAATATGCAGTTGAGACCTTATAATAATTTGTATAAGCAAAGACAATGTTTCATACCTTCTTCAGGCAGGTGCTCTACCACTTACGCCACGCTTCAAGCCTTATGAACAAAATCTTAGGCAGTATACAGCTAAATACCTTTTAATCTATTAGACAAGGGAAGAATATCAGGATACTTTTAGTTCGATATGGATATTTTTCAAATGAGTTTTCATCCCTCAAAAACTACTCTGCAATAAAAACTTTTAAAACAAGCCTAGGGTGGTGGAACATGGTTGGAGCCCTAACACCAGGGAAGCTGAGGCAAGAAGGTCATGAGTTTGAGGTCAGCCTGGGTTGTAAAGAGAGACCTGTCTCAAAAAAAAAAGAAAAGAAAAAGAAGCATGATTTAGCTTTAATGAACAAACAGAGCATGTTAGCTTCTGTCTTGGTGCACATATCCTTACTTAAGCAGTGAAAGGGGTCAATAAAGATGGGTATATTTTTATATACCCAGTCAGGACACTGATTCTAGGAGAGGCAAGTGACTTACTCAAGATCCTACAGCTACTAACTAGCCCCCTGATGTTTTACCTGGAACTTACTGAAAAAAAGCTTACTTCCCAGCAGCATGGGATGTACGCTAGTGCCTCTGAGATGAAGATTAGCTTACTCAATAAAATGTGTCCTCAAGAAGAATTTTCTTGAAGCAAAATGATTATGAAAGACTGGGAATGAGGATGGGAAGGAAAGCATCAATGGAAACATAAAAGGAAAATAATCAATAATTCATCTCAGCCACGAATTCCAGTGTTTCAGAAAGAACATTATTAGTAGGAAGTCAGAGAGACGTATCACTCCATGCTCAAGAGAACACAAACATACTATGAGGGTGTAAACCAGCTCTCCTACCTGCTTCCGTCCCCGAGGTAACGTTGCCACAGTGTCTGCCAGCACTTGAAGCCTTCTGTTATCTTCCATGGTGAGTGTGCCTGTGAGCATGGAGTAAGAGCTATAGGAGGGTCCAGGGCAGTAGTCCAGATTGCCATTGCTGCTTTGTTGTTGCATGAGCCTTTGCAAAGACATGATGAATAAAGACAAGGTTAGTCCAGCTAGCACATGCTCAAGTGGCTTTGCAGGATGGGGGAAGCTAAATGCACAACCCTCAGACAAGCAATCAAAAATAGCAAAGCAGAAAGAACCCATGTGACTTTTGTGGTTTGAGGTACTTGTTACACAAACCCTGCCGTTCACTCCCATTGCCCAATGTTTTTTTTTTTTTTCAAGCTCCTTAGCCTCAAACTAATTCTTTATGATGGTTTAAAAAAAAATCAGCTTACTTTTTTTTTCTCCTTTAAACAGCCACACCTTTTATGCTTTCAGGCTTGTATGATTTGATGTGCTCAAAACACTATCCGCCAGTTTTTTTTAAAGAAGCAATTTTTCCCCCAAGTTCTATCCCCTTTTCCCATCCATGCTCTTATTTAACATTAAGAGTGTAATGCAAAAGTCAGGATGTGCAGACATTCAGTTCTTGTGAATGTCAGCAAGAATGACAGGTGCTGTACACAATGTTCCCTCACAAGTCCATGTAGTATGCTTTCTCCAAGTACACCCTGACTCATTATGTTCATCCAAAAGACATTGTGTGTGTCACTTGAGCTGCACACATTCAGCATATCTCTGGTTGCCCTTCTTCTATTCTGTCATTAATAAAATTGTCCATAATCTTTACAATGGAAAGAGAAAGGCAAAAGTGTGCACTTAAAGAACAATGTTGGCCACCTCTTGCACTCAGGAGGCTGAGATCTAAGGTTCCTAGTTCAAAGCCAGTGTGGGCAGGAAAGTACAAGGAAATCCATCTCCAATTTACCAGCAAAAAAGTTAGACTCAAGTAAAGTATCAGCTGTAAGAGAATGTGGCCTTGAGTTCAAGTGCCAGTATTAGCATTAAAAAAAAAAAAAAAAAAAAAAAAAAAACAGAACAAAACAGGTAAACCAAAATTGCACAAGTATTTTCTAATTGGTCTCTGCAAGTACACATGAATGTAAGATATTATCACAGGGTACTCAAAATCAAGGAATTAAAAAAAATTATTTTTGAGCAGAGGTCATGAGTAAGTAGTTTTTCATTTGTTTGTTTTGTCTGTCATAGGGCTTGAACTCAGGGCCTGCTTGTTGTCCCTGAGCTCTTTTGCTCAAGGCTAGCGCTCCAGCACCTTAAGCCATTGCACCTCTTCTGTTTTGGGGCAGTTAATTGGTGATATGAGTCTCAAGGGGACTTTTCAGACCAGGCTGACTTTGAGCCATGATCCTAAGATCTCAGCCTCCTGAGTAGCTAATAATACAAGCATAAGCCACTGGCGCCTGGCTAAGGGTAGCTACATAGTTTTGAGAGACCTGCTCTAGGGGAGGAAACGGGTAAGCAAGTAAAAGGGAAAATCAAAGCAAAAATGAAAAAGAGAAGTGTTTATGTAGCACAAAAGTCAGATGTGCTTTTAAATATCATTCTGAAGGTCAACACTAGAATTATAAAGCATTAGCAAGAGGGTGAGCTAAAATAATGTGTATACTGGAAATCAAGGTGAATTTAGCTCAAGTAAAACCTGTCAAGTATAAATTGTAAAATATTTGAAGTGTTAAAATCTCCAGTGTGTTTCAAAAGATGGAGCCAACTCAGCAATTTTGAATCTATATTATAGTATGACTTATTGCTAGTGTAACTGAATTATAACATGGACAAAATATTTTCCCCCCAAACATACTAAGATCCAAGTCAGAGATTACAATGCCTTTAGGGGACTTATATGTGTGTGTGCATTTATGTGTATTGCATTTTACACTTACACATAATATATATAATATGTGTATATAATATACACCAACTTGTGTTTATATAATATGCACACATATGTGTACATGTTAATATTTATACATTATGTATATACACTAGAGATTGATTTTTAAAAAATCATTCCAAGCTATGAGGCATGGTATAATTTAAACCAACAACCTTACAAAGCTAGGTTAACATATTGATCTTTTAAACAAATCAAATGGAAACTAAGTCTTCATAGGCTGATTAACACACCAAGAATTATACATGAGTACTAAAATTGAACCAGTTCAGAGTTATGCATACCTTAAGCTGTGTACTACAGAAGTCAACCCCTCAATAAATATATTTCAGAAATTACTATTTGATTTATGAAATATGCTTAATAGGTAACAATTTTCAAATCACATGCTCTTTGAATATAAAATCCAAGGCAAAGGCAGTTCAGACATTCAACCAAAACATCGGTGTGGTCATACTCATTAACAATATATTTATGAACTGATGATGAAAATTGGTTTTTGCATATTTAAATAGCATCCTGATAAAAAAAGTATCTTTTCTAGTAAAATTGGGGAAAACACCAAATAATTGAATAGCAATGTGGTTTCCAATCATCAAATCCTTGACTCACAAAAGTGTTCTACTATTTGAAATTCCTCTTTACTTTAGGGTGTTATCTCAGAAGCATTATAAAAGCCTGGACATCTTTGTCTTTCAACTTTTTACTTCAAGGAGTTGTGACTGTGATAATGAATTCTATCAATGTATCACCAACTCAGTGTGCCTCACTGTCCATAGAATAAGAAAAAAAATAGAGAAGTTAGAGTTCTTATCTCATTTCCATGCTCTGAAACGTCTTACCATTTTTCTCAGATCTTTCAATTGAGAACGAACCTATTCTACTTGGACTATATTGTATACCACTGTTTCCCAATATTGCCTCAGTCTACCTTCTATCTTTAAGTTTGTACCTTGCATCTTACAGGTAGGTATTGTTCAAAAAATTGTCAATAAAAAGAAAAAAATAAGTAGATACTAAACTAAAGGAATAAAACAACAGTAGTAGGAAGCATGAAAGAAGAAAAGCCATCCTGGTAGGAAATTAGGAAATACACCATAGTTCATATTTCCAAGGGCTACCGTTTTCCCTTAGCATGATGTAAGCAAAGATAGAATCTCTGTGTGTGTGTGTGTGTGTGTGTGTGTGTGTGTGTGTGTGTGTGTGTGTGTGTGTGTGTGTGTGTGTGCATGTGGTGTGTGGAATTCAGGGCCTGAGTTCTATCTCTGTGCTTTTGTCAGTAAAAGCTGACACTCTACAACTTGAGCCACAGCTCCACTTCTGACTTTTTGGTAATTAACTGTATCTAAGAGTCTCAAGGACTTTTCCTGCCCAAACTGACTTCAAACTAAATCCTCAGATCTCAGCCACCTGAGAAGCTAGGAATACAGGCATAAGCCATCAGTGCCAGGTTATGAATCCACAGATCCTGCCACATGCTCCATTGACTAATAGTCACATTGTGGAGGAGAGTAGTCCTCTCATTGAGTGCATTTTTGTTCATTCACTGGTAAATTCTTTTGGAAGGAATAACTCTTTGATACAAATAAGATGAACCCTGAGAGTTTGGAAGATAGGAACCATTTGGTAGAGGCCGGTGAGAGAGATAAAACTACAGAATGCCGAACAAAAGGCAGGAAGGTATACAAGGAAATGTGATTAATCTTCTGTCAACTGGGGAGAAAAATAACAGAGTTGATAACAGGGTTTGAGTGCCAAAATGCTGTTTAATTCAAATTCTGGCACTGCTGCTTTAAAGCAATGTCCACCACAACTGAATTATTTCTTTCCAAGTTCATATGTTACAAGTCCTAACTTTCAATGTGACTGAAGTTTGAGACAAGGTCTATAAAGAAGTATTTATGTTTAAATGAAATTGTAGGATAGGGCTGTGATATAATGGGAATATTGCTTATAAAAAGAAATATAAGAGGACTCTTCTACCACATGAGGGTACAGCAGAAAGTGACTATTCTGGAGAGCAAGAAAAGACCTTCACCACAAATTGAATTTTGATCACCACCTGTAGAATTGTGAGAGAATAACTTTATCTTGTGTGAAGCCACCTAATCTATGATCTGACGTACATTGTATTTATATGGTACCTTAAGATAACTAATATACTCTATATACCAAAGTTTCATATATCAAAAGAAAGTTATTAGAGAGGAACATGTAAAAGAATCTACACTTTGTATATAGTACAGAGATAGTTACTGTTACTGGAATTAAAGTAATAAGAATTCAAAAGGAAAATTTCAAAAAATGACTTTAATTCTACATGAACTATAGTACCCACTACCAATATATGAAACAAAAATATCCCCATCCACCCTCAAGAAGTTGAAAAGCAGAAGTGGAGGTGTGATTCAAGTGGTAGAGTACCAACCTGTAGTAAAACAGCTAAGGCACAGTGCCCAGGTCTTGTGTTCAAGCCCCAGTACTGGTATGGGAATGCATGTATACACACACACACACACACACACACACACACACACACGCACACACACACAGCTGAAAGGCTAGAATTTGTCCTCAGTCTATTTCAATAGATAGATCAAGATAGTGCAAATCTCTGAAATTTCTTGGTTACTCTTTATTTATTAGGGTTGAAGAGTGGTTGCTTAAAATATAAGATTCCTTATATAATTTTTCTCATTTTAAGATAGCTGTTATTTGTGAGAGAAAAATGTAGTTGCCTTTCTAGAATATCATAATATTTTGTTTTGTTTGATTCCACCGTTTATTTTGCTTTGGGCTTCTTGCCTTTATTAGGATAAGAATCTTTTATTTGGATCTGGAAATACTTGTCTTAGGCCCAGAGAGACAGAAATGCATGCTTTCCCTAATTAGTGGAAGCTAGAATTGTTTTATAAATATATAATTAAATTCTTGGGTGCTATGCAATTATAATAATGTATTAATTAAGATACAGTAAATTTAGGTAAAAACTCTAACAGCATAATTCCTTAGAAAGGCAAAACCATAGTTTAACAAAATAAACAAACAGGTACTTGAAAGAACTGGGTTAGGGTGAAGGGGAAGAGGTAGATGAATGAAGAAATGAACATCGGGGAGAATATAGTCAAAAATTCAAAACAAAAAGCTGGGCGCTACAACGGACAAGGGTCTCATATCTAAAATATACTTGGAACTCAAAAAATTAAACCACCCAACAACAAATCCTCAAAGAAACAACTGCCCAATAAGTAAGTGGGTGAAAGACTTAAAGAGAAGCTTCTCTGAAGAAGAAAGAAGGATGGCCAATAGACACATGAAGAAATGTTCAACATCCCTAGCCATAAAAGAAATGCAAATCAAAACAACATTGAGATATCACCTCACTCCAGTTAGAACAGCAAAAATCAAGAACTCTAACAACAACAGATGCTGGAGGGGATGTGGACAGAAAGGAACCTTACTTCATTGTTGGTGGGAATGTAAACTTGTTCAACCACTTTGGAAAGCAGTATGGAGGTTCCTCAAAAGACTCCGCATAGAGCTCCCCAATGACCCAGCAATCCCACTTTTGGGCATTTACCCAAATGATCACAAACAAGGCCACACTAAAGCTACCAGCACAACTATGTTTATTGCAGCATTATTTACCATAGCTAAGATATGGAACCAACCCAGATGCCCCTCAGTAGATGAATGGATCAAGAAAATGTGGTATATATACACAATGGAATTCTATGCCTCCATCAGAAAGAATGACATTTCCCCATTTGTTAGGAAATGGAAAGGCTTGGAAAAAATTATATTAAGTGAAGTAAGCCAGGCCCAAAGAAACATAGGTCCCATGGTTTCCCTTATTTGCAATATCTAGTATAGGTATGAGTCAAGCGGAAAAAGTCAGATAATGTGATGTTAGGAAAACGAACCCTCAAATATGTATTTTAATGTTTTTGTTTCTTTCATGCATGTGTTTCTAACGTATTTATAAGATTATTTCTTTGTTGCTTTGTATGTCCCTCCCCCACAGTGTAACCCCCGCTTTCACTATATTTGATGTCAGTATAACATGTGGAGGAGACGGGGACCAACAAGTCGTTTAAGGATTCAGGTGGACCTGTTTCAACAATGAGAAGTACAAAATGTCATGTCAAAACCAGCTTTACAATGTCCGGGGGGGGGGGGGGGGGGGGGGGGGGGAGGGAGGAGGGGTATGATTGGGTGGGGGGGAGGGGGGAGGCTGGGAAGGGAGGTGAAGGGTAAACAAAGGAGGAGGCTGCAATGCTTGGTAAGAAATGTATGCATTATCCTGCCCATGTAATTGTAACCCCTCTGTACAGTATGTTCTCAAATAAAATAAAATTAAATTAAAAAAAAAAAAAAAAAAGCTGGGCGCTGATGGCTCAAGCCTGTAATCCTAGCTACTCGGATGGCTGAGGTTTGAGAATCGAGGTTCAAAGCAAGCCTGGGCAGGGAAGTCCTTGACACTCTTATCTCCAATAAACCACCAGAAAACCAGAAATGGCATTGAGGCTTTAGTGGTAGAGCACTTGCCTTGAGCTGAAGAGCTCAGGGACAGTGCCCAGGCCCAGAGTTCAAACCCCACGACTGACAATGAATAAATACATAAATACATAAAACATAGCCTTGAAATTTAAGAAAAGTAAGGGAAGGGGTGGATTGGGAGAGATGTGTGAAAATGTTCAAAGGGGTGATATTGATCAAGATAAATTGCATTCATAAACTGCTTTGTTGAATGGCAACTCCTTTGTATAGCTACTGAAAAATAATTAAAATATAATTTAAAAAAGAATCATTTATTTGGGTCCATGGAATAAACAAGGAGATGAGTTGATGTTACACAGACAATATTTGACTATATGATATTTAAATTTATATAGGGTATATTTAATTTTAGAAAATTATTTTCACTTCAGAGGCTCACTAATTCTGACAACTTCATTGTCCTAATTCTTATCTTTTTTGATATGTCAAGTGGGTAGATTTCTTCAGAAAAAAGACAATTTAAAATTCGAGCAGTTTTTTTTGGGGGGGGGGGGGGTCCGGTCGTGGGGCCTGAACTCTGGGCCTGGGCGCTGTCCCTCAGCTCTTCAGCTCAAGGCTAGCACTCTACCACTTATGAGCCACATTGCCACTTCCAGCTTTTTTTTCCCCCGCTTATGTGGTGCTGAGGAATCGAGCTCAGGGCCTCATACATGCAAGGCAAGCACTCTAACACTGAGCCACCTTCCCAGCCCCAACAATTTAAAATTCGATTAAGTACTAGCTCTGACAAGTAGCCAGCTTAGGAAAAAGAAATAACAGAAAGAGCACATGATAATCCTATAGTCACAATTCCAATGCGGATATGAACCAAATCTAATTGTTAGCTGGAGTTCTGACAAACATGTTTAAAACAATGAAAAATTATAACTGACCTAATAGTTAACAATATATTTAATGTACATACTACAGAAAGCATACAATATATATAATATATATATGTATATGTATATATATGCATGTGTGTGTGTGTGTGTGTATGTATGTATGTGAGTCATGACTCTTGAACTCAGGGCCTAGGCTTTGTCCCTGAGCTTTTTCATTCAAGGCCAGCACTCTTATCACTTTGATCCACAGCATAACTTCTAGTTTTCTGAGGGTTAACTGGAGATAAGAGTCTCACAGACTTTCCTGACCAGTTTGGCTTTGAACCACGATCCTCAAACCTCTGTCTTCTGAGTAGCTAGGATTACAGATGTGAGCCATAAGTGCCCACCTACGAAATATATTTGTAATGTATAAACAATTTATGACCTATTAATTTTTAATTTGAGCAAATCAGGAAGCTATGAGTAGATTCTAATATAATCCAAGAAGTTAAGCCACTAAATTCAAGGGGCCTTGACTGGCTTATGCAGATAAGTCTTAAGTTGTTCAAGTGTAAAAATAGATGTCTTTCCACATTCATTTGATGCACTTACTATATAGGAATATCACTGACTGCATTTTTTAAAGATCCATTTACATTTTCATCTGCTACAGGTTTATAGAGAGTTCTCTGAGCACAGTGTATAAAAGGCAAAATGGGTGTCTAATTAGACTTGTGGTTGAAGATATACAATAGTAAATGGGCCAGTGAGAGAAAAATAAGGAAATAGGTAGGTTTTAAAAGGCGCCTTTGCCTTTGAGCATTCTGATGGTATATGCAAAATGCCCTGAAAATGCATCAGTAATGTTTGACTCTATGTCATAATTTTAATCTGTACTTATCAGAATGAAAAGCTTCCTTAAATTGCCTGGAGAAGCTGGGGAGCTGAAGTGAGGTAAAAGAGAAGACCAGAGAAGATTTTAAGTCTTTAAGCCCTCCTTCAACCTTCCATACAATTTGAGGAGGGAAAGGTGGTATTAGTACTAGAAACTGAACTCAGGACTTCACACTTAATAGGCAGGCACTCTACCATTTGAGCCAAGTCTCTATTCTCTTTTTTCATTGGTTATATTCAAGGTAGAGTTTTGATTTATGCCTAAGCCAGCCAGTACTATAATCTTATTACCTGTACTTCTCTATATCTCTGGAAATGGCAGGTGCATACCACCAGGCCCAATCATTGGTTGAAATGGAGTCTCAAGATTTTTTTTTTTCTTTGACTACCCTCAATCCCCCAATTTCTACCTTCCCAGTAGCTAGGCTTGAGTCATTGTGCCTGGCTTGCACTTCTGTTTTTAATTGTTTTATATCTTGCTTCTCCCAGACCACATGATTTAGTCAGGTCATAAAAATGAAAACCAAATGAAAACAACAGGCCTACAGAAGAGAGAAAACAGTCCACACATAGTGTGTAAAGAACAATAGCTTGTTGAGTTCTGCAGAAAAGTGTCAGACTGCCCCCAGTTTCTAGAGACAGAGCTCCCTTTTACAGCAATAAAACTGATAGTGAAAACTTCACACAAACATGAACACAAAGCAAACAGTATAACCAGTAGTTACAGGAAACCTAACTCTGGGTTTGTCTAAAAGTTTTATCTAATAAATAATTTCTAATTAATCTATTAAGACAGATGTATGGACATTGAAATGAACTGAATCAAGCTACATTTGCATTCAGAGAATTGTGCTGTGATGTGGAGCTGCCTTTCTGAGGAAGGTTGAGACTTCAGCCATTTAGGCACAATATGAGTGTGTATGTAAACAACAATTATAGAAAATTTCAAAAAATAGGTAAAGATTTATCCTTTGGAAGATTATGAGATATGGATTTTTTTTTTACCAGTATTTTCAAGGAAATCCAAGAGGACAAAGTAAGTTATTTATATTGATAATTAACCTGATCCAATACTGGACAGAGAGGGGAAGGAAGGAAGAAGGGAGAGAAGGAGGGAGGGAGGGAGGGAGGACCAATCTCACTTATTATGGTTAAATAAACATGCTAGTGAAAATATTTAATTGAATCCATCAGTGCATTAAAAATAATGCCTCTCAAATTGTATGTAGTCCAAAAATATAAGGACAGTTTAACACTAGCATATAAAAATATTAATAAAAATAACTCAATTTCTGGATTAAAGAAGAAATTAAATACAGTAGATATCAAAGCAATAAATATTCAAGTAAGCTAGAAGAAAAAAAAAAACAATCAAGAAAATCTGATAAATGACTACTAAATTTAACACCAAATACAGAAATGCAAATATTTCATTATCCTAAGAAGGAAGGCTCTGATGACCTTGGCCATCATGGATTCCATATCAACAAGAGATATAAAGTTATAAAGAGAACCAGGATATATTGAAATCAGAGACTTTCACAAAGATTTTTCAAGTCTTAAAAAAACAGACTTTAGCTGACACAGTATTACATCTCTGTGGTTCTAGCAATTCATGAGGCTCAGAGAGGCCAGCCTCATCAGCAAAAGCTGCTGCTAATCTCAAAAAGAAAATACATACTTTGTGTATAAAATTCAAAATGGCTGGGCTCCAGTGGATCATGCCTATAATCCTAGCTACTCCGGAACCTGAGATCTGAGGATCACCATTCGAAGCCTGGGCAGGAAAGTCCGTGAAACTCTTATCTCCAATTAACTGCCAGAACACAGTAAGTGACACCATGGCTGAAAGTGGAAGAATGCTATCCTTGAGTGAAAGAGCTCAGGGACAGAGCCCAGGATTTGAATTCAAGCACCACGACCAACCCACCACCAAATAAATAAATAAATAAATATAGAGGTAGAATAATAAAACATAAAACAAGATATCAATTTTTTTCCATTCCTGGAGCTTGAACCCAGGGGCTTGAACTCTGGCACTGCCCCTCTGATCCTTTTTGTAGTTCACACCTGTAATCCTAGCAACTCAGGAGGCTAAGATCTGAGGATTGTGGTTTGAAGCCAGCCCCAAACAGGGAAGTCCATGAGATTCTTATCTCCAATTAATCACAGAAAACAAAATTTCTTAATTAAATGTAATAATGTATATATTATATACAATGTAATATAATTATTGTATTTATTGATATATAATATTGATTCACATATCATATTGATTCACACATCATATTATAATTATATTACTATGAAAAGACATACTAGTAGAGAAAAGAAACATCAAAATAGCTATTATCATCATAAAACAGGAATGGACTCAGCAAGTACTTTTTTGTTTTATTTTTTTTTTCCAGTCCTGGGGCTTGAACTTAGGGCCTGGGTACTGTCTCTGAGCTTCTTTTTGCTCAAGGTTAACACTCTACCACTATCACTGGAGCCACAGTGCCACTCCTGGCTTTTTCTGTTTATGTAGTACTGAGGAACCAAACCCAGGGCTTCATGCATGCTAGGCAAGCACTCTACCACTGAGCCACATTCTCAGCCCACAACTACTTTTTTATTTTAAAGGTAAGATATTTGTGGAGTTATGCAAGTACTTTTAAGATTTTAATGTGCTGGCTAAAGAACAGGCTAGGGACATTTCTGTATGAATAGAAGTCCTTTTCTAAAAATGCTAATTATCTTCAAATGTTCTACAATATTCAATGCTCTACAACTCAAAGTGTCCATAATTTTTCATTGTTTAT